TTCTAAGAAGTAAATAAAATGGTAACAAGTTTCACAAGACTGTAAAAACAGCAATAAAATTATTTCTTGCCAAAAGCACAGTTCCTATAAATCCTGCTAAAGAGACTCAACCTAATTCAAACCGAAGATGCGGCTTTTGCGCCAGATAACGTAAGACAAAAAGAAAAATATTATTTAATACATGCAAAAACCCCATTTTTAATATTCTCGGCAAAGAATGTAAAACGTTTTGCAAGGCTCTGACTGCCAAAATAATGTGTAGAAAACTAATAAGAGTTTAGTTTTAAAATTAAATGTTTTTTTTTATATTAAACAAATACAAAATATTTAAATTATTGACATTTTATTATTAAACTTTACAAATAATTACTAATAATTTACCTGAGTGACAAAATATTAATAGTTTTTGAAATATTTCAGTGGGGTATCGTAGTTACCACACACGGCCTGAAACGTAACTTTTTGTAGCACGGTCCCGGAAAGGTTAAGAAATTAGCAAGGATAACTTAGGCCTGCATAGCCAACAGTAGACAACAATGTGCCCAACTAAAAAGAGAGTATCTAAATATGTGAAGGAGGCTACACCATAATTAGAAATAGTTGAATAAGTTGAGAATGATAATAATGAATCCCAATCAACCACCCCATTGGAACTTGAATTGTCTATAACCTCGTCTCGTCTCATTATATCAGATTTTGCAAAGAATATTGAGACTTGCAAAGTTGATAAGGCTCTATGCACTACAATTTTAATGACGTTTGTCCGCCATTTCGTTCTCCAAGAAACAACATCATAAATGGCAAAAAATTATCCAGTTGAGATGAAATTTGGTATGGAATCAGATTGTCAATTGCGCGTCCATAATGACATTATTTGAACGTAAGTTCACGAGTTCATTAGGACTACATTTAATTTATTTATTATTGAGGAGAAAAACAAATGGATTTTCGACAAATTCAGGATGTAAAGCATTAACATCATTAGGCCTACGATAAATGAAAATTTATAGACAAATCGATCAATAAAATAATTCAAACAACATTAAAAAATCTTTTTTACTTGAATATTTTGTTTCAATAACAAAATAATTCGTTTTGTATAAAACCATGTAGTTTATTGTGATTTGTAAGACATTAAACGTAACTTTCTTACAAATCGAATTTAATAAATAGTGAGTTAAGTCAATTTGTCACAAACTCGTTTGATGGCAGAAAAATGCAATAAAATATATAAACTGTAAATGAAAAATTTAAACTATTATAAATTAAATTTAAGTATATAATAAGCAATTAAGTATGTAAGAAAAAGTTTTTGTAATTATTACTATTTATTAATTGATCGTCGTATGTTTAATATGCCATATTTTATTTATATACCGATTACTATGATATTTACTTAAATTATAATTCACAGACAGCCAAGCAGCGCTAAAGGTACTCGGTTCCACGAAAGTCAATTCTAGATAAGTGCGGGACTGTGTGCGTGCTTTTAGGTAATTATATAACAATACTTTAGGTAAAAGTAGCATTCTTACGTTGGCCCGAGTACCAGGGCACGAAGGTCACAAGGGTAACGAAAAAAGCATATGAAAGGGCCAAGCTAGGCTCATCAATCCCATTCATAATCCCAGAACCCTTCTGCGGCATTGCAAAAGTAGTCACGAGAATGGCTACGGAACAACGGGTGGCCAATAAATCACTAGAATGGTGAAGAAACTCGCCAGGGGCGCTATTCTGTACAATCGTCGGTATCAGTAAGTTACCGACAGTTATCGGTACGTACGGCCAATTAGCGTCGTGTTAATTAGCTAGTTAAATAGTTTTAGCTGTCATTAATAGGACACAGCAAATTTGTACCGACGATTATCGGTATCTCTACCGTGGGGTTAACAAGCACACGGTAGAGATACCGATCCTCGTCGGTACAAATTTGCGATATTTGCCATAGGGCCGATCGTTAACTATGACAACAATAATTAACACATTTTTACTATATACAAATCCGTACCGAGAGCTGTCGTAACTTACCGATACCGACGATTGTACAGAATAGCGCCCCAGGACAGATACATGGCAGAACCTACGCATGGCTTCGTCCGCCAATCCGAAGAAGAAACGACAGAACAAATTCTGTGTCGGTGCGACAGCCTGGCAAATGTGCGGTTCTCGGTAATAAGCAACGATAGAAAAGGGAGCTACATGGAGGATTCAGTCTCAAAGTTGCTAGACTTTGTGAAAAAGATAAGACTGGAGAATGTAATATACTAATATACTTTTGTCATGTATGGTATACATAACAAAAATTAAACACACTATAAAAATAGGAACAAAACAAAACATCTTTAGTATTCAAAATAATAAAAAAATATATAATTTTGTTACTCCTAAAAAATGTACCATACTGGACATATTATAATAAAAGGTCAAAGAGAACATTTTAAGTGTTCAAAAGAAAAAAAGAAAACATAATGAACCACTGGATAAAAGCACTTTATATATATATTTTTTTTTATTCTTTTTCTATTGGTAGATACACAGGTAAGTGCATTTCATTAATTTTAGACTTTTTACAAACAATGTTGCATGAGTTCCAAAAACTCTTAGTTTTTATGGGTTTTACATTGCATGACAGGGTTCAACTCGCTTCTTGTTGTCTCCAACTAGTAGTCTCTGGGAAGAGTTTGTATACTGACCCTTTTAACAGGTTATTACATAAACAATTAAAAGAATTAATTAACAACTAAAAACTACAATAAATAAAGCAAAATAAATAAATAATTTGATAAACATCTTACATACACAACCGATGTACCGCGTACCGGATTTCTGTAGCTGTCATCTTTAGAACAGAATTGCTACTGAGGCAACAACGTTAGATACGTAACCACTATGACCAGGTGTATCAAATATACGTAAATAATAATATTTAATAGCACACTTATACAGGGTTGTTCACCACATACGACACGGAGTATTGTAGCTAAACGATGAGATTTTTACAAATTGTAAGTTTTGGGTTCGATGAAGGACTATTAGAGGTACAATTTAAAAATAATTTTACAAGATACAGAGTGTCCCAAATAAGAAAAAATATCAAAGTTGTATTTTTTTAAATGGAACACCCTGTATATTATTACATTTTTAGTTTCTACGATTAAAATAAAGGTAAATTTGATTAACATTTATTATACTTAAACCTTACCGTTTTTGAAATATTTTCAATTTTGTGAAATTGCAGTAAAAATTTTAAGGCTTCATTTCTCCAAGGGTATCAAAGTTTTTAATACTAAATATTTACTGAAGTTTATTTACTGATCAGTTATTGTGTTGCAATAATACAAATAATACTACCTTATACAGAGTGTCTAAAAATTTATTTTAAATAATTATTAGCTTCAAACGGCAATAACTTGTTTAATTTAAATGGAACACCCTGTATATTTTATGAGAATCAGATGCACAATTTAATTGTCTATCAAATTATATTTACCATTTTTACCTATCTCTTTAAGTTTTACGTAGAAAATGCATTTTCTTGTAATTTAGAACTTATTTATCAATATACCCATGGACTATTGACATTTTAGATTATTTTTAAAGATGTACCAAATTTTTAAAAAGTACAGATACTAATATTGTCGATATAATTCGTTTATTTCATTAAAAAATAAAAAAAAACTGTTTAAATATTTGTTAAAGAGGATCAATTAATATGATTCCAGTATTCAAATTTCATTAACTGACTGTTTGCGTTGATGAATAATAATTGCTCCAAATACTAAAAAACTGAATTTTGTATGGGCATTAGACAGTGTGATAAAAAGTAACACCTTAAAAATGATATTTCATTTTTTAATAAAAGCTTATTTATAACAACAGAGACTAATTTGATAACTTATTATTATATTGATTTCTGACTAAAATCCACATTTATTATAATAATTTATTAACGAACACAATTAAGTATGCCATTAATTAGTATATGGGCGGAAATAATTGGTGTTATATTTAATTAATGGTATACTCTTTATAAAGATTTAAATAGTTTTTTTGCATACAAATGGGTTAGTAATATTATCGTTTTGCTAAAAACGATAATATTACTAGTCTGTACATTTTATACATTTGCTGCTTAAAAACAATCTAAAATGTCAATATTCCATGGATATATTTATAAATGAGGTCTAAATTATAAGAAACTGCATTTTCTACGAAAACTTGAAGGGATAGGTAAAAAATGGTATAATACAATTTGATAGACAATTTAATTGTGCATCTGATTCTCCTAAAATATAAAGGGCATTCCATTTAAATTAAAGAAGTTATTGCCGTTTGAAGCTAATAATTATTTAAAATTAATTTTTAGACACTCTGTATAAGGTAGTATTATTTTTATTATTGCAACACAATAACTGATCAAATAAACTTCATTAAATATTTAGTATTAAAAACATTGATACCCTTGGAGAAATGAAGCTTTAAATTTTTTACTGGAATTTCACAAAATTGAAAATATTTCAAAAACGGTAAGGTTTAAGTATAATAAACCTTAATCAAATTTACCTTTATTTTAATCGTAGAAACTAAAAATGTAATAATATACAGGGTGTTCCATTTAAAAAATACAACTTTGATATTTTTTATTTATTTGGGACACTGTATCTTGTAAAAATATTTTTAAATTGTAGCTCTAATAGTCCTTCAACGAACCCCAAACTTACAATTTGTAAAAATCTCATCGTTTAGCTACAATACTCCGTGTCGTATGTGGTGAACCACCCTGTATATAGGTCTTTTATTTTATTGAAATTAGTAAAATTGCGGTATAAAATTCCAAACGCGCTCGCTCGACGGTTAATTATTTACTACTTAAAAATCCTCTTCTATCGTTTTTCTTATTAACTTCTCTATAATAAATTTAAAATCAAAAAAGATTTAAAGAAATAAAATTGTAATAGGTAACTCAGATTGCCAGCCAATTATTATACGAAAGTACTTACGTTTATTAATAAATCTAAAAAATCCTAGAAATCCAGTATAGTTCTTTTTATTGGATCCTGTATGAAATTCCATGACAAGCCCTGCTCCGGAAGAATAAATCACTGTAGGTATATCGGTCATGTGTCCACAATATATACTTTCCCAAGGCGTATATTCGTTAACTGCTGCAGCCTCTAGATGGACAAATAGTTTTAAATAGTCTCCCCTGGTACAACTGAAAAAGAAAACAAAAATATTAGAATGAACAATTAAATATAATATAATGAAACTATTGGAGATCAAATTAAAAAAAAACGTGTAAATACAGTGTGGCCTATTAGTGCGAGGAAGTCCAATATCGTCGTCGTTGTCGAATATGTGAAAAAAGGTTTTAGACAGATGTTTGGTTAATAAAGAGGTATATCCTAAAATATTTTGTTGCATAGAGGGTATGCCAAAAAAAGTGATAATGAAGTTTTAAGTTTTTTAAATTGCTTCCCCCATTTTTCTGCGCAGATCTGGATCCAGCATAAAATTCTCTATATAGTACGCTATTTTTTCTTTCCAGAACTATGTAGTGTTGTTGCCATTCTATTTCATATTTACTGTAATTTTGGTTAAAAACACTATATCCGAAAAGTTATTAAAAACTACAATACATTTAACTTTATTACTACTTAGCTTTATTGTCCTAAACAATAATGATAACAGAATAAACCCGGTAAGGAAACATTATCTTATACAGGGTAATTTTTATGGTGTCGCCAGCCATGGCAATATTTAAAATGCTATATCTCAATGTTTTTAGATGCAACACTCTGTATATTATTTTCTTTTTGGTTGCAGAATTAAAAAGTTTTTTTTGTAAAGTAGTATCCCACATGTAATATAATAGAACGAATATCTTTAAAACCGCTAATAATTTAGGAACACCTAGATGTTGGCGTCATTATAAAAATTACCTTGTATACAATAATGTAAATTTTCCTTCGCAGGTTTATTCCTTATACTTGATGTTGTAAGAAAATATAGGTAAGTATTAATAAAGTTATATTCGCTCTAGTTTTAACCACTTTTCGGATATAATGTTTTTAACGAAAGTTTCAGTAAATATGAAATTGAATTGCATCATCGTATAGTGGTGGAAATAAAATAGCCTACTACAAGCAGAATTTTATGATAAACCCAATTATTATCTACAGGAAAATGGAGGGTGTAATTTAAAAAAGATAAAAAGTCATCATAACTGTTTTTTGTGACAGTCTGTACAGGGTGGGTTAAATTCGACGCTTTTAAATGGAAACACCCTTTTCTATAGGAGATAGACAAAAACTAGTATCGGTATCTGTCACCATCAGTTTTTGTCAAAAACATGATGGTGAAAACCGCATATCGATATCTGTTACCGTTTCGGAGTTACGGGTGTTTCTCAAAAATATGCATTTTTTACAAATAAAACGTAACTTTTTTCCTATGGAAAATTTTGTATTTTTATGAAAACATTTCCAAATCATCTTTTTACGTAGAATTTAATGGTTTAAGTATAATTTTTTTAAAATTAATAATTTAAGAATTATCAACAGAAAATTTGATTTTTTATACGGGACACCCGGTATATTTTTAATTTATTGAAAAGAATTTAAAATTACCTTTCCAAAAATGTAACACACTTGATATTATGCTCGATTCATCTTCGAGATATAGAGTAGGTATTACAATTCGCCCGCTTTAAATAGGTAGGCTTTGAACGGCACCGGCTGTAATGCAAAAAAATTCTAGCTGTGAGCATCAATTAAAACGAAAATAATATTCGCTATGAGAGATGCAAAATTTTATAACAATTTAAAATATATTTAACCAACATCAACACATGTAAACTATATCTAATAATAATAAAAATAAATAGCAAACCAAGACAAGATATTTTGCTACAGGTGTTCGACATATCGACCGTCTTCTGTTATGGACAGACGGAGCAGTTTTTGAACATTTCTCGCAGAATTCATTAACTCAGTGGGGGGAAGTGGAAAGATACTCATCATAACTGCTTGCTAAATATTTCTAATTCTTGTCTAGATTATACGTAAAGAATCAAGGAACCTTTATTCTTCCGCAAATATATCCATAGTATTAGATCCATGGGCACTAAGTCAGGCGGTCACGAGGGCCAACGGCTGGGATCTTGGTTAGCTATTCAATTATTCTTGAAATTGGCTGCAAAAAATTTGCTGGATAACTTCAGCGTTCAGAGGCAGTGCTTTGTCTTGTTGGAAAATATGTTGTTGAGTTCTATTAAGGCATATCATCAATAAGGGGGTCCAAATCCTACTAGTTAAAAGTGGCGCATTTTTTATCCTGTATTTCAAAGGAGATTATAACAAAATATCAAGTGTGCTATATTTTTGGAAAGGTAATTTTAAATTCTTTTCAGTTAATTAAAAATATAGAGGGTGTCTCAAAAAAAAATAAATTTTTCTCTTGATAACTCTTAAATTATTAATTTAAAAAAATTATATTTAAACCATTAAATTCTACGTAAAAAGGTGCTTTGGAAATGTTTTCATAGAAATACAGAATTTTCCATAGCATAAAGGTTACAGCGATTTGTTAAAAATGCACATTTTTGAGAAACACCCCGTAACTCCGAAACGGTAACAGATATTGATGTGCGGTTTTCACCATCATGTTTTTGATAAAAATTGAGCTCCAGACGCCGATATTAGTTTTCGTCTATCTCCTATAAAAAAGGTGTTTCCATTTAAAAGCGTCGAATTTGACCCACGCTGTACACGAAAAAAATATTTTAGGATATGCACCATTATAAACCATGCAACATGTGTAACAAAACTTTGTTTCATATCTTTGACCAACAACGATATATATCGGACTTCCTCGCACTAATGGTCCACCATGTATATCTACACGCTCTTTTGTAAGCTTCTCTCTACCGTTGAAAAGCTTTGAAAACAACAATAATCTATAATTTTGTACAGTCAACTTAATCAGTGCTTTAAATTTAATATACTTTTCCACTGAGTGCTAGTTTACACCAATAATAAGAAACGCAAAAATTTTACTAATATTTATTATAAAGGATTACTCCTAATAAAAATTCACATTTCATTTAACTATTAAGCATTTTCAAGCTTCATTCTATCTAAATATTTTAATTAGGGCAAACAATTTTAATTTCTATCCCTTCTAACTAGATTATAGCGTGCTTTATCTCAACAGTGACCAACAAGATTCTAGTTCAAATCAATTGAAACCTTCGTACGTTAATACAATGGGACTGTATTTAGTAAACACGCCTATTGTATGATCCCGGATCACTTGCCACACTGTTCTGAATACAAGATTAGGTCAGGTTTGAAATAGGAATCTCTAAATGAGGTTTCCTATGTCGCTTGTTACATAGCAACTACACGACAATTGTTTGTTCTCTGTATAATAAAATATGTTATTTGATATAATTACAAACAAGTAAAAAACATAAAATTAAATTATAAGTAATTTAAACGGGGCATAACTTTATTCAATAATTCAAATTAAACTCACTAACGTCATAAACTTTTTTTCATAATATATGTTGTTACGATTCACCCATCATTTTTAATGACTGCAAGGATATTCTGAAAAATCTTACAGACAGTAATAACCATATGATTAACATTTCCCAATTACGTCTTAAAGGAAACAATTAAATTTAAAAATATTTTAAATTTTAATTAAAATAAAAAACTTTTCTACGGGAAAAGTAATTTGTCAGATAATTGTTAACTTGAATAAAATTTAAAAACTGTGTTAACATAAAGTGTTTTTTAATGTAAACGTGTATATTTTTTACTATTTAACCAGTTTGCCAAAAGTTCCTAGCATAATCGCATGTGAGCACAACGTAATAAACGTACTAAAAAAATATAATTCTTTCAAATATTGTAAATCCAGAAATAATTATTCCAATTTCTAAGTACTAAAAATAAATATATTACAACAGAAATGACACGGTTACTGCTGTATTATTGCATTAGATCTCAATCTTTCTAAATATTAGAATATCAATTTTCAGTTTTTGTTTACAGTAGTCTGTACTGTATCTCTGATTTTCTCCATTTGATAACGGAATGTATGCCAAAAAAGTACAATTTTTTGAGATATTCTCTATAGATTCGGAAAATACCTGAAAATATTGTTTAAATTTCTGGACACTAAAAATTAAGCAAAATAAAACACTAAATCACCACAATACACCAAAACACTTACTTTTGCACTGGACGCGCGTTTTGCTAACCATGTTAGTATCATATGAACTCGCTCAGTTGGCTCCGAGTAGGCGTGCAAAAACTAGCCAAGCGAGCCAAAACCAACCGGGCGTAACAATTAATTACCGAAACTGAAGCAGTAGGAACAGAGAACTGGAAGGAATTGGGCCAT